ACACAAACACACAAAGAGAGAGAGAGAGAGAGAGAGAGAGAGAGAGAGAGAGAGAGGGAGAGAGAGAGAGAGAGAGAGATTGTATTTAGTTGATGGGGTGTCAGTCAGTTTCTACCCCCACCACCAACCTCAAACCTCCTTTCCTCTGCCATTTCCTTCTGTTTCCTAGCTCTTACAGGAGCTTAACTGTTAATTCTTGTTTTTTAAAATCCCACCTGTACCAAGATGTTTTTCTACTGCTGCCATTGGCAGAAAACTGGATATTCCAAAGGATTGGGAGAGCTCTCCTTGTGTCTCTTAGTTGCCAGTTGAGGCAAACTCATAGTTAATTGGGCCATAAGCTAAAATATCTTCTATATAAATCAGGGGAAGCGATGCTTTAGTTTACATGAACATCAGAGTTTCTCTCTCCAAATGCTTTGCTCCAAAGAGTAGGAGAAAAACATGAAGCAAACCAGCAATTCTCAGGTAGACAGAACTATATATTAGGTGCTTTCTATATATCAGCATGGAATGCAGTGGCTCAGTGGCTAAGATGTTGAGCTTGTCGATCAGAAAGGTTGGCAGTTCAGTGGTTCAAATCCCTAGTGCTGTGTAACAGAGTGAGCTCCCATTACTTGTTCCAGCTTCTGCCTACCTAGCAGTTTGAAAACCTTAAAAATGCAAGTAGAAAAATAGGGCCACTTTTGGTGGGAAGGTAACAGCGCTCCATACACAGTCATCATTTAGTCTTGCCGGCAATGTCTTCGGACAGTGCTGTCTCTTTAGCTTTGAAACGGAGATGAGCACTGTCCCCTAGAGTCAGGAACGACTAGCACATATGTGCGATGCAAACCTTTACCTTATATATATGCATATATTAGGTGTTTTCCATGGCTGTCAAAGGAACAGCCAAGTATCCAATGGCTCAGAAATACAGGCACAGAACATAGTCCAATACATAGACTTTGACTTCTATATACAGGTAGCCCTTGACTAATTCCAGAAAATTTATGTTGCTAAGTGAGACAGTTTTGTAAGTGAAATTTGCTCCATTTTATAACCTTTCTTGCCAGATGTTAACAGGGATGTTAAATGAACCTGTGACTTCCCCATTGACTTTGCTTGTTAGAAGGGCACCAAAGGGATCACATGACCTTCTGACATTATAACCATCATAAATATGAACCAGTAGCCAAGCATCTGAATTTTGATAAAGTGACTATAGGGATGCTGTAACGGTCATAAAAAAGACAAATGTTGACACATCACTTTTTTCATTGCCCTTGTAACTTTGAATCGAGCCAAGGTGGCGCAGTGGTTAGAGTGCAGTACTGCAGGCCACTTCAGCTGACTGCTAACTGCAGTTCGG